ATAATGTGAGTGTGCGTATAGAATAGCCTAATAATGTATAATTCGAGTGTGTGTATAGAATAGCCTAATAATGCATAATGTGAGTGTGCGTATAGAATAGCCTAATAATGTATAATGTGAGTGTGTGTATAGAATAGCCTAATAATGTATAATACGAGTGTGCGTATAGAATAGCCTAATAATGCATAATGTGAGTGTGCGTATAGAATAGCCTAATAATGTATAAATGTGAGTGTGCGTATAGAATAGCCTAATAATGTATAATGTGAGTGTGTGTATAGAATAGCCTAATAATGTATAATGTGAGTGTGTGTATAGAATAGCCTAATAATGTATAATGTGAGTGTGCGTATAGAATAGCCTAATAATGTATAATTCGAGTGTGGGTATAGAATAGCCTAATAATGTATAATGTGAGTGTGCGTATAGAATAGCCTAATAATGCATAATGTGAGTGTGCGTATAGAATAGCCTAATAATGTATAATGTGAGTGTGTGTATAGAATAGCCTAATAATGTATAATGTGAGTGTGCGTATAGAATAGCCTAATAATGTATAATGTGAGTGTGTGTATAGAATAGCCTAATAATGTATAATGTGGAGTGAGGGTATAGAATAGCCTAATAATGTATAATGCGAGTGTGCGTATATAGAATAGCCTAATAATGTATAATGCCAGTGTGTGTATAGAATATAGCCTAATGATGTATAATGCGAGTGTGCGTATAATAGAATAGTTTAAGAAGGTATGAAAAATGTTGCATACATACAAATGAAACTTAATTGTGCGATGCATTGTTAATCGCGTATTATAAGAGATTATAATGAGAATGTGTGTTGGCTATTAGAAGGTTGTTGTATGAGTGTGTTTATAAATAAACTTATAACCTACTTCTAGTTTATCTTTTATTTAAGATAAAATTGTATAAATAATAATAAAAAATATAATAATAATAAATCTAAAAGTAATATGTGCATGTATAAAAACAATATGAATTAATGAGTCTAGAGTTTATTCAAAATTATTTAAACATTGTACATTTTTTTACTATTTGAAATTAAACACAAATTATAATAGGTCATTATATAAAATCAGTTAATTTAGAGTGGAGCTTGGAGCTAGTACAACAAATACATTTAATTTTTTTATCATTATAATTAACATATTTTATGTTATATTTGTTCTTAACAAGATGACTATGATTATCGATTATGTCTTTCAAAATTTCCCAATTTTTATAAATTTTATCAAATTTGATCTTCATGAAAAAATTTTCTCTATTAATACCTTGAACATGTCTATTTTCAGGAATATCAATACCATGGTTAAATGACTGGTAAGGAATATACGGTTTATTGAAAAATTTGGAAGTATAACCGATATTTTTAAGTCGATATTTTTTAAATAACTTTGTGATATGAATGTATTCTTTGGCAATACAGGATAGTCAAAGATAGCGATTACATTCTGTTTTAATTATACACTTTAAAAATTGAAGGAGCACGGTTTGAGGTTTTAGGAATGTATGTGTTGTTCTGGAATGGTTTCTGATTAGTGCTAAAATGAAGAAGTAGAATAATTAAAGGATATGTAGGTATCCAAATATATCATATTAGAGGGGTTAAAGGTAAATTCAGTCGAATGTCAGGGGGATAGATATTAATAATGGATTGGATTAACTTGAAGTAGGGTTCATTATGATTAAAGTCCATAAGATTTGTATAATTTTTTAAGAAAATCAAATTCGAACTTGCAATCTGTGCACTATAAGAACTCATTTGAATACCTTCTACTTGTTTAAACGTATCATTTCCTACATTAAAGTAAGCATGATTATTAATTAATAAATTTAATTTCAGTAGATAAGTTTCGAATTCCTTATTGAATTTAAGTAAGTTACAGACCTGTGAAATAGAGTTTGAAGTATCGGCTAATGTAAGGTTAGTGTATAAATTTTCGAAGACCCATGTAATGAAAAATTGTTGTGTATCCGTAGGTTGAATTAAATGCTGCTGAATTCTGATAATGAATCTATCCAAATTATTCATAATAGGAAAAATTACATCAGAATGTTTGTAGATGAGCCTTATTTTAGACACTAAGTCATAATGTGCATTCCCAGAAGTTTGGACAAGGGGGTAGTAATCCAGCTATACGCTGTGAATACGCTGTGATGGGGGGGGGGGGGGGGGGGGTGGGTTTATATATTGAGAATCATCTACAGTATTCATAAAAAGGTTTACAACAATATAGGGAAGACCTGTCAAATGTTCAATGCTACATGTCCAAATCAAAGCCAATCTTTCTTTATTATTGTGCTGAGAGTACAGTATTTGTGTGAACCACAGATCCTATATAAACAGCTCAGCTTCTTGTTCAAAACCTGGGCTTCTGATCTGGGAAAACACTACATGAAATTAGATGTGACCTATACAGTAGGGGCTAGCATAGCTGAGGTTGGCTTACCAAACAAAAAAAAAACAACAACAACAAAAACTACAGTATCAAATCAATAGAAAGGGTCTGTACACATACCGGTCTCTAATTGTTCTTCTGGTTTCCAGTATTACCAAAATCTCTATCGAAGACAATTTCTTTCATATTGACATACAAGTAGAAATCATCATGATTCTTAAACTTGCAAATCCTTGAACCACTATGTGCTATAAAAGAGACTAAGACATTTTCATATTATAAATAGCATCCTCAAAAAGTTTGTTGCATAACAAAGGCTTTGTGTTCAATAAATTATATTTTGTAAATTAAGTGCTGTTCAGTACATTTTTTTAGACTGATTTAGTTCAGTTTATTATTCACAGCTACTCAGGGGTCTTAAGTTGGAATAATTCACTTCATGTACTTTATTTCAGTTTCTGGATTTACCCACTTTCTTGGTAAGCTTTTCCAGCTTTCTAGTCCTTATTTTTTTTTAAAGTAAAGTGATCAACAAAACCTCTAATACCCGATTCACACGTACAAAAATCTTACCAAATGTAACAAAATGTAACCAAAAGTAACATTTTACGGCACGTGTGAAAGTACCTCTGTGTAATATCCTTGTAAAATCTCGGAACGTCTCGGTAATCTTTACCAGCCTCGCTGAGGCTGGTAAAGCTTCCGAGATGTAACATGGATGGATCTGCGCATGCGCAGGAATTTCAACACAACAACAATCTACTGTTTCACTGGGTTCTTTGAATTTTCTTCCTTCTGCATACGATTCTGATCCACTAGAAATAGATAGGCCTAGTTTTTCTCAATGATGAATGAAATAGCCTTGTTATTGATGTTAATTAGTAATGGTAGAAGAAGAAGATATACATAAAATGAACGTCGGGATGGTGTTAGTACTATTACTAGTATTACAAGAGTCCGAGACAGAAACGTTGGAACAGAAACGTTGGAAGCTATGCTGCCTAGTTTAGTAGTAGTAGTACAGCAGTTGTTAAGGGTATTGATTGCTTCGAATGTTTACTGTGATGGTGAGTTCAACAGTCCATCTGTGACAGGGGTTCTCAACTAGGCCTAGGTTAGACCTATATCGCAGTAGGGGAAAAAATGGTTCATTGAATAAACACTGAATAAATTTTACACAACCTTGGCATTACCTTACAGATGCGTGTGAATGCTTTTTATCTCGGTAGGAATAACTCGGGAGATCGCTCGGTTACAATTTGTTACTTTTTGTTAAATTTAACTTCACATGTGAATCGGGTATTAGCTTGTAAAATAACATACTAGCTAAGAATCCATTGTCTACCCTTTTAAATGACTATATACAGTAGTTGACTTTTTCAAATTTTTCATCTGTCCACTTATAAGACTAAATGACACTTACCGCTAGCCAACTGTTGCCCATTTGGATCATCACAGGACTGCAGCTCTTCCAATGCTGGTCGTAGTCTTTCATCATTGATGTTGAATAGCGAGCTTCTTATTAAAAAATAATTCAAAAAAGTGCACAGCGCATTTGATCATTGATTTGGAATTTACACTATATAAATCTATACCATATTATTATTATTATTATTATTGTTATTGTTATTGTTATTGTTATTGTTATTATTATTATTATTATTATTATTATTATTATTATTATTATTATCAATCTAACCATTTAATTAAGCATTTGCTGATCTGTACTAATATGATGTTATATAAAATAATAATGATAATAATGATACTGGTATTACTAGTATTAAAAATGATGATGTTAAACAAAGCTGATTAATAGTATGTTAAAGCCAGACTCCGAAGTTTAATACTTTTTTGATATGTTGTACAGACACAAAAGGGGTGTAATTCCACCCTCAATTGTTCCACAGTTTTATGTGTCTTAGAAAAATCAGTTGTACAACATTATGCAATTTTTTTTTCCTCTGAACCTGGATTTAATGATGGTGATAATGATGACAATAATCATGAAGAGGATGATGATTGATTGAATTTATTCGTAAAGTCATAAAATACATACATAAAAATGATATACAAAAACCGACAAAATGAAAATAAACATGACCCTGATTACAAGGAAAAGCCGAAAAATATGTACTGTAATGATGATTGGGTTTTCAGTATTAGGCTATGTCTCAAGTACAAACAACGCTCTATCAGATCCAAATGAGAGGACAATTTCTTCAGGATATTAACATTTTTAATAGCATTTAAATGCATTATGTTTGGCTCGTAAATTAACATAACATGAACACAAGAGTGAAGAACTTCAAGGTAACTTACACGCACTGCTTGCACGTTTTCCTGGCTTGTTTGTTTCACAGATTTATCCCACATCTCAATTCTTTCAACCTCAGTTTGAGTAGGTTCACCATCAAGATCAAGGTCAATCGTCAGGTGGGCCTTACTTACTGCTTCGGAACTAGATAGATGCAAATATAGAGAAAAGTGTTTAATGTTTGCAGGCCTACTGTGCAGTGTGCTAAATACATCTTTATCTCGGTTTTGCCATTATAATATTTTTAGTATTTTAATATAAAAGAAAACTACTTTTTTTTTGCATGGTTTATCATTCATGAATAATAAAAAAAAAATATGAACAGAAAATATATAAACAAACAATTAATGGAATGCAAGTTGCATGCAAAATATTCTTTTGATTGGAAACCCTGTGCAGTGTTGATCAATATGACTGCATTGCCTTTAATAATGAGTTTAGAATATTTGTCAATTTTGTTTTATTTTAGATATAAAGCACTTTTAATTCCCCCAGGTCCACATGCTTAAATGTTGTTTCTGGTGGAAAGAAACCAACTGTGCAGATAAACTGCTTTATTCAAGGACACAAGCGAAATGCACAGCGAGAGATTGAAACCCTAACTTTAAGAACCAAGATTCCACTCCATTTATTGACAAATATACAAGTACAGTACATGAAATTTGTTTTCATGGGTTGGGAATACACATTATATAGATATAAATTAAATAATTAGATGAAAGACATAAATACAGTGCATAAAATACTTAAATTATATTTAAATTAACAATAAATAGAATATATGAGGGATGCCATCCCAAAAACCAGCGTACCGTCGCTGTATGATAAACTGAGTAATAACAATGTATATGTCAGTACTGTACTGTACATACTTTAGTACAGAAAAGCTGTAATACTTTTACTCATAACTTTGGCAAAAGTAAATCAGTTCCAGTAATGAGCCATCATTTTAAAGCTTACGATGTGAAGAATCAGAATATATTCAAAACTCAATTTTCATTTTTTGGTTACTGATGCTGGTTTTTGGATGGCAAGCTTCATGATGCAGTAATGAAGATTTGGGTTGTACTCGTAAATGAGAGAAGCCGTTATATATGGAGGTCAAATGTTGATAATTTGAGGGGCACCACATTTGTCACCATGCATTGCATGGCTGTGGAGAGAATCTTCACATAGGCCACATATCCTGCACTCACACAATTATTGATACAGGCCTTGTCTGCCAAACACTATTCAACAAATTAAAAATAACGAAAATGAATGATAAATTTTGGAAATTGAATACATCTGTTCCTGAAAAAAAAAAAAAAATAACATAATACAATTATAAAAAAAAAAAAATTATAAAAATAAATAATATAGTAATTTCAAAACAATATCATCAATGCTCATTTCAATATAAGAATATACTTTTGGGGACAAAAAAAAAACTCTGTTTAGTAGGAAAAATTAATATAATACAATTATTTAAAAAAAATAAATAAAAATAAGAATAATAATAGTAATTTAGAATATCCTTAATGCTCATTTCAAAATAAGAATCTACTTTTGAGGTTTTGTCTACAGCCTGGCTGGGTGCGAAACCTACTTTATCAAGTTAATAAAGTTTTATCAGTGGAATACTGTGTAAGGCCACATTGCAACCACAATGGGCTGTAGAAGTAGTGCAATTTGTGGATTACTATCAACTTACCGGGTGTGTCTGTGGCATCATCGCTAAGCCTATATGACTCACTAAGGCTTCTGTCTTGCTGAAGGCTACTAGGAAGATTTGGTAGCATAAAATCTGCCTCAATTGTCTCCTTCATAGCAATTCTTAACAGAAGAAAACAAAGAATAAAGAATAGATAACCACCATACTGCACCCACATGTAATTGAATCTTTTTACTTCAATTTTTTGAGGATTTTTATCTCAAAGTAAAAATTACTACTGCTACAGTATGTTTTTTTGGATTTGCATAGTAATATTAACAGACAGACCTATATAATGCAAATAAACAAAGTCTCCATGCTTTTCCCATTCAAAATAATGAAAACCTAAACTAAGTGATAGACTTCTCCCCCTTTTAAAATTGACCAGAATTTAGAGATGACCACTTGTTGTTGAGCTTTAGCCCATGTCATCTCTAGTCACACTGCTGGTCAATATATAGTTAAATGTATTTGAGGAATCCTCTATTCATCAGAAGGTTTTTAACTTTAAATGGAAGGGCATTTAAAAGGCAAATTTTCAACACTGCATCATCAAATGAATGCCAAACTGAGACAAAATTGAAACCACCAACTTGCTGGACAGCACCACCGTTCATTTCATAATCATGAAATCTTAGCAACTATAAATTGTTCACAGCAAATGGAGCCAAAATAAACTCTACAATTACTATCATTAATAATATTAAATAATAAGTGGAGTTGAATAGATGGCGGGTAAGATCATGCCTTTCAATCCCAGGGTCCTGGGTTAAATTCCTCAGTCAAGGTAACAAACTTTTTCTCACGGCAAAAACCACTCCACTCCCTAAGCCTCATAATGAGACATAGGTTAATACTTCGAGCATCTTGTGTTTATGTTTGTCTTATGAAGATACCAGCTGCATACCCGTCCTCGGATGGTAATAGGCACCTTACGCAACAGGACGGGAAGACGGGTGGACGGTGGTTTTGTGCTCATCAGAACGTGAAGACCATAGCAAACTCTAGTTGTCATTGTTGGAATTATGGTCGAATTGAAATAGGTACAGGTTTTTAAAAGAGCCCTATAAATTCTAGGCATAGGCTAGGTTAGGCCTAACGTTGCATAGTTAACATGCACTGAAGATAGTGATATATATTTGACTATCACTGGTGTTGAAAGCGTTTAACATACGTTTACCTGGGTGGGCTAGAATGAGATGCCTGCGAAATGATCGGGGCAATGATCGTTATTGGCTATCCATGGCCGGTGTGGATTTGTGTCACTTGTTTGTGATGTTGTGTGGTGGGTTTATTACAAACAGAGGCCTAGGCTAGGCCAGGTAGGTTAAAACATCTGAGATTAGATGGGCCTAACAAATCAAATGTCAGAAAGTTGACAGGTAATATGGCGTAGTTTGGATCTTAAAATTAATAATGTAATACAAAATCATGATGTTGTTTTTGTTTTCCATCGATTGTTGGCAGTGTCAGACACTCTCTCCCTGCTGTCAAGGATTCACATGTGCTTGTTTGTTGACATTCATAAGTGTATCCTGTACGTGTGTGATATTATATTGACTGAATTGTATTGCGGAGGTAATTGTTAATAATTGAAATTTATAGCGATTCAAAATAATAACACCATATAGATATTGAGAAAGACATAATGGCTCATATCTGTGACAAAACATTGAAAAAGATTGAATATCTGGAGCTACTTTGTTTACGCGTATGCATCCTTCCGAAATGACAACGTGAAAAAGTGCCGGCTGGGACTAATTTAAATCAGTTCATTATTAATTATTAATAAATGACGCAATTTTGGAAAACATCACATAGCCTATACCTGCCCAGTACTAACATGAACATTTTTGTGAAAATTTGGTTTAAATCGGCTCAGTAACAAAAGAAAAAATTCCGGATATTACACACGCTTGCTAAAGTACCCTTCAAACACCAACATTTATCATTTACCAATAATTGCATATTAGTTTTGAGTATTATGCCAAAATTTATTCAACATAAAAGTATTGTTTATATTACTTTTGTAGTAGAACAATTTTAGGCAATTTGTTACTTAGTTAAAGTTTTTTAAAGATAAAATTGACTTTGTCCTGATCAGGATTCAACCCAAAACCCTCTGAATATAATTTGAATATTCTACCAATTTGTGGTATTCTCCTAATTTGTGGTATTCTCCTTTGCATTTTCTAATTTGGAGCATTTATTTTCTCAAGGTATTGTGTAATATGCAGCAAACAATAAAGAAGTTGATGACAGTTTGGTATGAATAAGGAACACCTTGCCAGTCAAGTCATAGGTGCTAAGGTTTTGAAAAAAAAAACAGTGTCTCCATCAAGATTCGAACCCTAGACCCTCTATGAACTATGTGGATGCTCTATAAAATTACCATTTAAAATGTACACTAGCCTACCCCACCCTCTCCCCAACTCCACCCCAAAAAACATAAAAAGATAAAAGATGCTCTATTTACCTCTTTACTGTTACTATTCAATGCTTCAACTGCATTCCTGACACTATCATAGAGGGCGCTATTGAGATCATTCATGCTGTTACACTGTATTTGTGGACTGGGTACTCTGCTCAACTTGCTGGCTTTTAATTGGTTCATATGAAACCAGCGAGTCCCTGCTTCTACTCACTGTAGATTCCACTGTACATTCACTTGCAAAAGAATTTCTCTGACTTTCGAAGAAAACTTCTGAAACTGATGTCAGTACATTTGAAGGAATACAAAAGGAAAAATTGATTTATGAATAATATAACAACCATGTAAACAGTAGGAGGCTATACAGGGTAAAAAAAAAAGGGTGATATTATTCAAATACCAAATGTACAGGCCTTACATGAAGTGGCTTCTTGTCCTGAACATTTTGGCACCTTTTTAAAGAAATTTGGTTGAAAAATGGGACAGTGAAGGCCAACAAACAAAATTGAGGGGGGAAGGGGAAAAATCATTACCCCCATCAGCGGTGGAAATACATGAAAAAGGTCGTAAATTTTTTATCTGAAGTCATATTTTAGTGATATAGTGTCTATATA